CTGATCATTTTCAAATCTCTCGCAAAATTTGCCAAGATAGAAAGCAGTCATGGCTCCTAGCTTGTTTAATGGTTAAATCAGTCAGTTTACAAACGAGCGGAGTTGGTCCTTGAACGGTGGGCCGAGTTGGTTAGTGGGCTGAGTTGACTGTAGGCGGGTGGGCGTTCAAACATTCCATGCGTTTATTGAAATTTGCTTTAGCGCCTACAGGACGAATCTGTGTCGGATCTTTTAGTTTTATCATGTTGTTCTTGAACATATTCTTGTTATCTTCCTTAGAGATTCTATAACTTTTAAATATTTCAAAAACCCACCCACCTGGTATCGCAAAGTCTGCTGCGTTCCTCCATCTTCCGTATCCATGTTATTATACCGTAACTGAGCCATTTCCAGGAATTTCAGCGCGGTCTCTGCTATAGGTGCGATGTTCTCTGCGTAGGCTATACGAACTATCACCTCTTGATCATCGGGAAAATTAGCCAATGCAGGAAGTATGTACTCTGGGAAGATGTTCCCCTCATTTGGTGGCAACATTTGTACAAGTTGTAAGGTCTGTGTCAAGGTCCAAAGTGCCCGGGCTCTAACCCGGGGTACACTATCTCCGATAAGGTATAAAATGTACGGTACAACTCTTTCTAAAATCATTTCATCGTTTGAGTTCTGTGCCAATAGTAGTAGCAGGTCTAGGCATTTTAACTTCGAATCACAGTACTGAAACACAAAAACGTCTATGAATATAAAAGCTTTTGTGTTTACAACGATTGTGATATTATGTTCTTAACCGTGTTTATCCTTCCCTGTGGGAGAAAACCGGAGTGCATGAAAAAAACCCCCAGAACTTTTGGCAGAGCGTCGACTGACTCTTTTCACATGAGGCTGTAGTGAGAATAGAACCCACGATCTCAGAGGTGAACGGCGCTTTCTCTGTCGACTGCGCCACCAAAGCCCCACTTTACTTGAACTCAAAATATGTTTGTGAAATATTATTATATATTGTATATTGTATATTGTATATTGTATATTGTATATTGTATATTGTATATTGTATATTATATATTGTATATTGTATATTGTATATTGCATATTGCATATTGCATATTGTATATTGTATCATACACGAATGAAAATGAAGAAGAAAAAAATGCTACTCACAACACAGTTCCGAACACTTGACGTAACCAAGGAAATAATTAAAACGAGGCTACCTGAAATCAAAACAATATAGTTATATTGTAAAATCATTCTTCCTACACTAAACCCTTGCAAAGGAAAGATCAATATTTCAATGTACACCAAAAACCGTCAATGCTCGGATGCATACAGAAAAACTGCCACTAGTCGAATGTAAAGATGGTCAACAGCCGATTACCGATCAATGATCGGCAAGAAATTTCTTATGATCGGCGGAAAAGCAGGGTTTCCAACCTGAAAAAGCAGGGAAAGTCATGACTGCCGATCACCATGATCGGGGACTTTGGGAACGTTATTTCAAGCCCTGACATTGGAATGCATACTGAAATACATATTTATTTATTTATTTATTTATTTAACTTCGCCATTATCATGCATTCATGGCAGGGTCACCACAACAGTATGGTACCAATTACTGTGGGCCCTTAATACGGTCAATAGTCGAATGTATACTGAAAGTCTTATAAACATTAATTTTTCTCACTCATTGGTGAGTGGCTGAGTGCATGTCCTAATAGGCTGTTTTGAAAGTGTTATACACGCTATTGTTTTGATGAAATTTCTTACTATGATCCACTTTTGTGTCTTCGTTTTCGACCTTTGCAAATTCTTTTAAGATCGCAGAAATACAATCTGCAATTCTGAAATAGATTTAATTACTTTAATTAGGGTTGAGGTATTAAATGTGACAAATGTCCTGTTCCTTTCTCCCCTGCTTTCTCCTGTAACAACTGCGTTTGACCTTACGATGTATTCGTAATTCTTGTGTTAATTATGTAACAATGAGCGGCCGTGTTGCATATGGTTTTGTAAAACCTCCTTAATAATTCATGAAGAAAACACAAAAGAAATCATGAGCGTGAAGGAGTTTGTATATCTGATACAAAATCATGCTGATTTACATAAACTTTAAGTTCAATTTTCTCACCAAATATCATCTATTTATTTTAAATTGTTGAAGAATACAAATGTTTGTATACAGTACACAAATACGAGTCGAATAATGTATATAGCTTGTGATTCGTCATCATGAAAACGTTCTTATGCATCAATAATCTTTATAAAGACATAAATTGTCATTTCGCTGGGGAAAAGTGAATTCAAATTGAACACGTAAATCAGCAGGATTTTATATCAGATATACAAGCTCCTTCACAGTCACGATTTTCCGCTTTCTTCATGAATTATTAATTAGAATGTTAGTGCAATGAAATCGTGCGTATTATTATTTAAATGATGGTCTAAATTTTGACATCAAGTTGTCTTGTAAATTCTGAGAATTACCGTGCAATTTTTTCGTCAGGGGTTAGGACTGGTAATGATGCAAAACGAACCATAAATACACGTAGAAATGTGTAGAATTCTTCAGGAAAGAGACAGCCTAAAGAAGAAAAAATGTAATGACAAAAAAATGAAAAATATCATGGAAAAAAATGAAAAATATCATGAAAAAAAATGAAAAATATCATGGAAAAAAATGAAAAATATCATGGAAAAAAATGAAAAATATCATGGAAAAAAATGAAAAATATCATGGAAAAAAATGAAAAATATCATGGAAAAAAATGAAAAATATCATGGAAAAAAATGAAAAATATCATGGAAAAAAATGAAAAATATCATGAAAAAAAATGAAAAATATCATGGAAAAAAATAAAAAATATCATGGAAAAAAATGAAAAATATCATGGAAAAAAATGAAAAATATCATGGAAAAAAATGAAAAATATCATGGAAAAAAATGAAAAATATCATGGAAAAAAATGAAAAATATCATGGAAAAAAATGAAAAATATCATGGAAAAAACGCACAACTGGAATGCAGCCGTTACTGAAAGCTACGTATTGTTAAGATCATTTTACACGTTTTAATCAAAACATGCTGTCGAAACATGTAAATTATTACCTCTATATTTATCAAGATATTCGGACGCTTCACTTCGTTGTTCTGGATTTTTAGAAATCATCTCAGTTATTAATTCCTAGAAACAATGAATGACGCAAATATTACACATTCCGAAAATCATATTTGGGGTTTAGTCGCACTTTAATTCATATAAAATTGGACAATCCCAAGAACAAATATATATTTTTATATTTTAACGAGTCAATTCTGTATATAAACTTCGCACGTTCTGTGCAAGCGTAGGTAGCGACAATAACACGAGAAAGCAGCAGAATTTGAGAGGAATTCAAATGCCTTAAAAAACTACAGGTAGCATTCTCAGTTCTGTGCAGTGTATTACGAGGTTCGAGGCTTACCCTGATGTGCTTGTCGTCAATTTTCTCCAGAGCGGGAGCTGGATCATAATCTCCACTGCGGTATGCAAGAAGTTTCGATAGATCAAATAATGGAGCACCTTCGCTCAACAACTCCGCTATCACACATCTGCAAAGTTTTTAGAATACAACCCATGAGTCACATGAAATTATATATACACGAGTTAATCCATAGCCATACTTCATTATTTTACTCTTTCTAACGACAGATGAATGTACCCCTTCAAGAGCACACTCTGGACCACGGGTGCCTATGTCTGTTTTGATAGAACATGGACATTGGACAGACTCTTTTCACAAAAGTGTCATACGAGTCAAGAATCAAACTCACATGCAATTTCAGAGGTGAAAGACGATTGCAGATTGCTCTGACTAACGTACCAACGAAGCCCAGCCCATGTATTATGGCCATCACATGTGTTAGAGCACTCTGATTAGCTCAAAACTTACTCTCAAGTTTTGCATGAGTATATAATGACTGGCCAACATATTGTGTTACTGACGTTACTAGCATAATTACCCCAAAGAAAAAATATCCATTTTTGATGTCAGTTCAGAGACATGATCTTTTATGAGGCCAAGATCTAATGAGTTATCTCCCTGCTGCTCTGAAGGCAAGCTAGAACTTGCCAAGTCACTGGTACGGCTGTCCAAGAATCTTTCTGGTGCTAAATAACATGTCCGCCTTCGTGATGTGTCAAAGAAGTACGAGAAGTCTGCTGGATTGTCTTCTTGAAGATAGGTGGGTTTAAACGAAGCAAGGTCTGTCAGTAACACAGATGTCCAGCTTGTCACCATAATGTTCTCAGTTTTAATATCACCATGGTAGATCTGTCAATGTACAGTTACTGTAAATCCTCTAAGTTCTAACACCCACTCCCTAATGAATGCCCTGGTTAAACCACAATGTTTAAACCCATTAAGTTACATTGTGGCCTAATGCACCCTACTTTAATATTTTATCTAGTCTAATGCCAGATGATTGGGTTAATTAATAATCAATTATAATTAGAACAGCTCTTGTAAAGTACAAAGATTTAATGAACAAACATTTAATAGATCATTTATTGTACCTAAATTAAGACTGCATTATTTTGCATAAAAATGTAAAAATAGGTACATGTATGTGTACATTTATATTATAGGCCTTCCAGTTTGTATTTCATTCCTAAGCATTTTTGATGGGGGATGAAATTCTTATTATTCTAAATAAGGAAACAATATAGCAAAGGAAAACAATGGCATTTCCTAGTAAAATTGATAAAACATAAATAAAAATTCCATCATGGTCTGAATATACCAATAAATTGGGATTTTTTTTTTTTGGGGGGGGGACTAATATATTGAGGTTGATTGGGTATTAAATGCAATAAATAATTAATAAATAAAGAGCTTTATTAGATTTTCAATACCTGATTTTGATGACACTGTACAAGCGCACACAACAGTTGAAACACGATCCATTTCTTCTCAAGAAGGTTTAAAAATGGCCTTGTACTGCAAATAAAAGGTTAATTGAGGTGCATTGCATCTAAAATATGCAGCGTGAGGTGCATTCAGCATTGCATGTAAAATATATGGCAGACACCACAGGGGCCTTCAAACATAGCATCTCAGAACTTATTTTCAATTGTATAATTTGTATTGTTGTAATTCTGCCTAAAATGCCTTTAATTTAAAACTGTTTAGCATGCCTGTATATTTACTTTTTTGCAGGTAACCAAATATTATTTGAATGAGATTTTCTACTATACTAGCACACACAAGACCTTCTGGGTTTGCAGTTAGTTCCAGTCGCTTGCAGGTAACGTGGTTACCTAATTGGATAATAATACCCGTGCAGTTTAGCAATACCTTATTCTATCGTACAAATTATCCTTCATATATTGTCGCACCAAAATGCCAGCTTTTTCTGTGATAATGATCTTTTGAAATGGTAGAATGTATGGAATAGTTTGTAATTTATCTGAGATTTCTTTGATATGTTTATAGTAAGTCTGTAGTGGTAATGAAGGATCTTGAATGGCAAATACTTTTACAACACATAAGCCTTCCCTAAAGACAAAAAATATGATACAAAGAATTGTTTAATAAATACTAACTTCACCAAAACAAAAAAATTTAAAACAAACTTTATTTATACTGGATAGCCCTATAATTAGTTCTAAACTGTCCTCCTAAGATCCAGTACAAGTCAGCCTTATTGGTCCATGCAGTTTTATACACATGGAAATCTAAACTGAAACTAACTTTATTTATAGTGGATAGCTCTATCAATTTGTGCTTTGCAAACTCAGGGTTTTCAGCTCAGGCGCTGGTGATCCGGCTTGCACATAGGCCAAATGAACAAAAATACTTGGTTAGTGTCACACTCTCACAAATTTTCAGTGACGGGCGGGCGCTTTTTTTAAAATTTTTACTCGTTTTTTAATTTTTTAACAGTATTTTTTGGGGGGATGGGGTGGTTTTTCCACTATATCAGTGATATTTTTGTACTGATGTTGCAAAGGTCGCCATTTTGCTATAAGAACCTTTTATACCCAAGCCCACGCGCTCCTATCGATCAGTATATAGCGTCAAGGTCTGAGCATGAGAAAAATTTCAAATATTAAACTGTTTTAAGCTGTAAAACGAAGAGATTTACATAAAAAAAATTCAGAGGCGGCAGAAATTGAGAGGCGGGCGGGGATGCTAACCAAGTTTTTATTTTATTTGGCCTTACATAACGGATAAAGTCCAGATAATGGCAGATGTTATTCAGCTCAATTTGGCAGATCAAAAAGAGCTCTGGCCTCTAGAACTCAGCACAAATAATAATTCTAAACTAGTGTTCTTCTTAGAGGTCTAGTAGAGGACATCTCTTATCAGTTCATTGTTAGGAATTGAACCCTAGTCACCAGATTGAAAACATGCTGGTCAGATCAAATTTTGGCTACCATTTTGCACAGGCAACCAATTTTGTTTTTCTTCATTTTAGGCACAAAAGTTTGGAAATTGCAAACCTGAGATTTCAAAAATGTAAATTTGTAAATATTAGTGACTGCACATCCAAGGACTCAAGGTCTGGGCTTGATGTGTATAATTTTACAATAATTTCTATTCCTAAATATTACCAAAGCGTGCAGGGAAACAGAAAGTGTCAGCAAGCCCAGCTGAAAATGACTATAAAGTGTGAAGGGGGTTAATTGCCCGCATGCTGCAAACTTTCCAATCTGGGCCAGTCACAAAAGGTGAAAGACACGAACAATGTGATGTGTAAGCTTTTGAACAGCCTGGTACAGAGATGAGTTGTCAACAATGCAATAGACACTAATTCACTCTTTCGATAATTACTTCATTTGACAATTGACCTGGGAGCCTCACTCTCATGAATCGTGAGCCAATCACCTGCAATAATTTATTAATGAGAGCGAAGCTCCAAGACCAAAAAGTATGTGGGACGTAATTATCAAAAGGGTGTATTATTACACAAAGAAAATTGGTTTCAGGTTTCACTCAAGTATAAGAGGATATTTCATACTTGTGCTTTGCTCTTGCAACTTTGAAAAACCTTGTACTGCCCAAGCTTTAAGAGAAACAATGAAAAATACACATTCAAATTTCATAAAACCTGTCATTCTGTCAAAAGTCAATGAAAACAGTGGAACGGAATTAGATTATGACAATACCTTGTGTCATATTCATAATCACGTAGATCAGTGAAATAGTGGTCTACACTTAGTATCTGTGAAGGAGCTATACTTGATAACTGGTTCCCCATTTTGTACTGTACTTTTTCTTTCTTTTTTTACATTTTTTCATTCCTTCTACATTATTTTTCATTTCAAAATTTGGAACATTTGTTTATATGGTACATTGGTGTACAATATGGTACATTATTGTGCTACACGGGATAACTATTGCATTATAACAGTGTATCCTTTCCTATCCTGAATTGTACTATTATGTACTAAATTACCACATAAAATGCAACAATATTCCCCAATGTCATCATCTATCACATATCTACCTTACATTATCCCATATTATCCTATAGGTAGCTATACAATTGGCCACGTTTCGCAGAAATGCATAGTTGCAAATTAGCATTTGTTTCATTGTTTGTAAACAATGAAGCATAAACACAATCTCAACGATGGCTCTGGGTACGAGATTGGCGTAAACACTAAACAGAGCCAAACAGGATCAAACCAAAACAATGGCATATTTTCTTAATAAATTTATCTCAATTTTATGTTTAATATTTCAATATTATGTCACTACAGAGGAGTTAAATGTGGAGACAAGATGCCAACATGAAAATGAGAAAGTATTTTTGGTCGACAATTTGTTAAAACGCAACGAGATTAAATGGTTAAATGGCTACCTCGTAGGACACAGGCCATGGGTTTTAAATCAAAAAGATAGTTTTAAAGAAATTTCTCTTGATATGAAATCAAACACAACATGGGTTTCGCCTGTGTCCACAGAAATGTTTGAACGTACAAGAGTCTGGAAAGAACTGTCAAAAATTTTAAAACAACTTACTGGAAGTGAACAATTTGTATGTTATGCTATGTTTACGATGGCATACAGAATGGATTTTAAACCTGTGTCGAACATAGGGAAGCCAGGTAACATGTAAATGTTATGCCGTTAGGCCCAATGTATGCCATGCCGAACTTGTACGCCAAGACAGTGCAACCTTTAGACAAGACCGTATCACTCCACCAACCAGGAAGTGGTGCTGAACCCATTAACTCGCACTGCACCCTAACATGCCCTACTTTATTATTTTACTCTGTCTAATGCCAGATGATTTTACTGGTCAAGGGGAGAGTGCTCAGGCGCTCAATGGGTTATACCCTTGTATTTTCAAAACTGTCATATTTACAAAATGTTCAGAAACAGATTAAACTGCAAAGCATATGCCATACCCATATTTCTTGTTGTGCAAACTTAAAGGGGAAGTCAAGTCCGTAATGTAAACAAACGGTTTGTTTACATTTTGAACTGCTATATTTTTTAAAATATGATGTACTGTCTGAATATCTAACACCATTTTGGTTCACTATGCTTCTAAATGAATATGAAATAGAGTTTATGTTCAGAAAAATACGAAACATTTGAAATTTGGGCAATTTTCACATTAGAGGTCCTCACATTGTTATGCGCAGAACCGATGCGCAGAACAGACTCGACTTCCCCTTTAAGCTGAATAAGACCGATATAATTTCCTCTCTAGATGACAAAGGTTTAACGGTGCAGATATTTCTTAATGAGGACATGAAGAAAAACGACTATGGTGAGACAGTTTTCTACAAAGATAACAACGATGTCATGTGTGGCATTCATCAACAACCTGGTCGTGTTCTTATCTGGAACAATACCTTAAACCATATGCCCAAACCACCTTCGATGCTTTATGTGCAAACACAAAATTCTATTGTGTTGAAGTTGAGCAACTCAGAAGATGAATACAAAAGCTGCATGGACTTGAACAAGGTTGGTTTTTGTACAAGTACACATCATTACTCAAACAAAGTCACGTAAAACGAGTATGCCACAAGTATCTGAGTTCTCGGTGGTGCAGTTGGTTGGCATGCTTATATAGAAACTAAGACATTGTGGGTTCGATCCCCACTCGGGGACTCAGAAGTGTTTTCTGAGTAATAAAGCTTGAGAACAATGCATAGCAATTCAATGTACATACATTACAGTATCACTGGCAAATTATCAAGTTGTTTCTTATTTTCTAGGCAAACAAACAAGGTATCCTTAATTCAAGGCCACAAAAGTTTCCTTTCATCGATGAAAATGATAAACTTAACTGTCTTCAACATGGCAGCAATATCAACTATGCAGACCATCTGACAAATAAATATTATGACTCACACGGTCACGAAATTGCAGTGTTTGATAATGTTTTATCTGAAAGAGACTTGAATAAATTGAGGGAGTATTTAATAAATGATTATCACACATTTGGATTCCAACCCTATGATGACGAGCACAGTGAAGATCATGATAATGTGGCTTGGATATCTGTGCAAAAGGTAGATAGGGATTAGCAAGTAAATAATTGTACACTTGGAATTAACAAAAAAACATATTATTCCTATAACTAAACAGATCATCCATAAATGTGAACATTTTCACAATCTTCAGCCTCTTCCACCGAAAGCATACCTCAGGAATGATGATGGTTCTACAGTTCACTATTTTTTAAAAGCACACATTGGTCATTGCATGCTCATTAATCCCCTTCCCCTGAATGTATAATTAGGAATAAATTTCATTCTTTAGTCCGATGTTCTAGCCCAAAGTGGTCTTTGGCAAGTAGTGAAACAAGCAGCAACTTTTCTAAGTGGTCTGGACCAATGGTATCCTTATGATGTCTCTATGAATATCGTTCATTCATTTCATCATACAAGAATACACGATGATTGCGAACCTTCTGAGGTAACATTAGCAAGCTAAAGAATATAACATCAGATAACTCATCACCTCTGTGACAGAAGTTTGCTTCCAGCAATTTATGCACCTGTGTTTCAAGTTTGACGATACATTAAGTTTTCTTTAGGTACCCCATTTCCTAAGTAGTACTGTAGCTGGTCCTCTATGGAGAACAGTTTATAACTGAGATATCTAGTATACAGTATCTAGTTAGCCTGTAGTTCAGTTATTCTATTTGTTGTAATAATTCTACATGATCATGAATACTACTACCTTTAGTATGAATACACATTCTTACTGTACCTAAACAAAGAGTGGAATGAAGATCTTTATGGAGAGACCGTCTACTTTGAAAAAGTGGATACAGACGTGGAACCCGGAGATGAGGAATACGAGATGATTGCAGCAGTGAAGCCTCGTTATGGACGTATTGTCATGTTCCGAGGCATCATACCTCATTCAGCAAGACCACCCAGTCCTGGTTTTTATGGAGCCAGATACACATTTGCATGCAAGGTAATTTCGAGCTAGTTTCTACTTTGGAAATTAAATACAAAGTCTCAGGGCAAGTGCAATTTGATTCTGATGGATGATAATTTCCCATAGTCAGTCCATTAATTAAGGCGAAACAAATTCCCTTTGAGCTTGATGCAACTTACAGTAAAGGGCAGCCAAACTTTCTAATCCCTGGTGTTAGAAGAAATATAATAGCTGAGTGCAGTTGGTGATATGTTGTTACAAATAACATCATACATGTATGTTTTCAAGCAGGTCAGCAAGACATACAGAAGTGCAAAATTGAAAAAGCTCAGAGAAACTGTAGAAGCCCTTCATGAATTTGGCGTGGAAGACGAGGTTGATTATTCAGAAGAATTTGAAAATAATGAAGGAAAACAACCTGACAATGTTGTTAAATTAGAGCTAAACAGACAGAAACAAATTTTGGACGATCTTGTGCAGAAAAGACAGGAATATTTTGTGAATCAACTTTGTGAAAACACTTAACATTTTTATGTGCAGTGCAACCAATCATCCATTAATTGTAAATAAATTATTATCTTTTCGTAATTATTAATTGTATGTTATCTTTTTGTACTTATTCAAACAATTACCAGTATACTATAGTGAGTGAAAATATTTGCAATGAGATGGAGTGTTATTTGAAAGATTAAAAAGTGTGTTCAAATGAACAAACATGGGTTTTTATTATGGTTGCATCTTGTTAACAATATGTTGTTAATTTTTGTTCTGCTTGGTTCATGAATTATTAGTCAGTTTGAGAAATGTCACCATTGTACATTAACGCTACCTTCAATAAGTTCAAACAAAGATTCCTTCCCAGACCGTTTAGCAAGATCTAAAGCAGTCTGATTCTGACAGTTAACTATGTTAGGATCGAGTCTTTTGTCCATTAACAGGACTTCTAATAACAAGTTGTCTCTGGTGTATGTTGCAGCAAGGTGTAGCGGTGTTTGACCCCCTGATGTTTGTGCATTGATGTCTGCATCATTTTGTAGAAGCACTGATGCAACTTCAGCTTGATCTAAATGAATAATTGTACAATTATTGTCAGTTTGTTTCTGTGTTGGGAAACACAAATGAGAAATCTTGTGTATATATAAGCCTGGTTTCCATTTGTTTGCAGTTACCAAGTCATAGTCTGCAATATGAAATAGTTTGGATCTATCTGTCTTATGTGAGACTTTCATCACTGATGTTGGGCTTTAAATAATTGATAGCTTAATATCTACAATGTCGATGTCAGCTAGGACGTCAGGGCTGAGCAGAGGACTGGGATTAGGACATCGTCCTAAGTAAATAAATAGCTTAAGATCTACAATGCCAAATATCTAAGACAGCAAGTGGAAGTAAATTGGCAATATTTTTTGAAGTGCGTATATACGTCTCTCTCAATTGCTCATCATCCACCAAATGTTGACAGCTTCACAACAAGAGTTTTGCCATTGTGGATACAAGAGCATAACAAACGCTAATGAATTCACATGTCTCTTTAAAATTAATTTTCAAAAGGATGTTATAGTTTAAAGGTTGTCGGCGTGAATCTTAAGTGGATGTTTATTAATTGTTTAGGACCACGTCCTAGTAAAGTCTACCAAGCCCTGATGCCCTAGCTGACGTCGACGTTGTGGATCTTAAGCAATGTCACATACACGAAAACGAGGCTCTATGGCCAAAGTGACGTACTTCCCTGGCACCAGACTTAAGCTTATAAGTTATAACCATACTTTTCCAGTGTCATTTTTTCTCGTGCTTATATTAAGTTCACTTACCCCAGCGACAAGCACAGTGTAATGGCTGCCAATTATTTTCAGTCAAACTGCAAATATCTGCGCCATGGTTTAACAAAACTTTAACCATATGATCATGTCCATTATATGCTGCTCTGTGCAGCGCTGAATACCCATCAGAATCTTTACAATTTATTAAACTTGCATCCTTTTCCAAAATCTTTAAAGCATAATCAATTTTGCCTTTTTCGGCAGCTTTCAGGAATACTTTTACAGTATAATTGCCTTCAGTCAATTCCTCAGGGTCTGAATTTGCTTCGTTTTTTAAATCCTCTTGTATGTATTGAAATAAAGATTCACTACCCTCAGGGAGAAAGCAAGCTGGGTCATTGTTCTCATTAGTTGATAATAAAGTATTTTTATCTCCTGTACTTGCCATTACTTGTGTTAAAACAAATTAAAACATGGTTTGTTTAGGAATTGAGCTTATTGAGACTTTGTTTTGGCCGCCATCTTGAAGCGAAATTTCCCGCGAGTATTTCTCGCAAAATTTTAATGTTAACGTTTTTCCGCGGGAAATTACCGAAATGTTGCAAATTAGCAAGTATCACATCAAATTAACTAATTTTCATTTACAGTATATACAATAAAAATTGAAAAGTACTTCTATGTTTTTATTGAAATATTTTTAATTTGGCAAACGAATTGTGTATATCTATAATTTTATTAAAAATATAATTTTATTTGTAACATGATATTAAATTATTATAATATTTATAAAACGATTATCGTGTGACCCTGCTCTCTTGAACTGTATAAATTTATCTTAGAATATTAATGACAAGGTACAAGTGCTGGGATTCTTTGTGTGTTTCAAAAAGTGTGGTCCATTGAATTGATTGAAAGGAAATGTGTAATGACGCATATATAATTTATACAAAATAGCCTTGAATGTCTCAAAATGGCAAAACGAAGAATGGAATTTTATATCCTAATTTGTTACTTCATAAAATCAAGTGCGGTGTATTCAACGGAAGAAAATAAATTTCCAAAAGGTCACCAAGAACAACTAGGTTCTCATCAGCAACAGGAAGGAAATGTTGAAGAATTATGGACAATGCCAAGTGCAAGTGTATTTTATGATAATTATGTTGTCAAGTCGAAACCTGTGATATTCAAAGGTGCAGCAAAGGAAAGCGATGCATTTCAATTATGGACAGATAGTTATTTATGGTGGGTTATATTTATGGCACAGCTAGAAGCATTAAGCATGCCCCCCCCCCCACTTTTTTGCCATTTATTAAAAGAAAAAAGGTATTAAATTGATATTGTTAAAATAATCTGACCACAATAGGCTCAATTCATTCGTATCCCCCCCTTCCAAACACACTCTGCACAGTTAATACATGGGAATCCCCCCCACAAACACACACACACAAATTAAACTGCTGATAATTTCTTTAAATGGTAGCTGAACAACTATGTAACAGACAATATAATTTTACAACATAGAAATCTTTGGTACTTTATGCTATAAAGAAATTTGCATGAAAATTGAGATTTGCAGCAATAGAATTGATAATAAAGTGGCAACCTACCACCCCACCCATTCACTCAAGAAACATGTCATAAAATCTCAACCATTACATACTTGTTTCCAGTTTGCCTTTTCCATTTCTAAAAGTGAAAAATTTGGCGATGTTGAAGTAAATGTGGACTATGGAAAGAAAGAAAACAGAGAAAGACCAGCAGACACTATGACGTTAAGAGAGTTCTTAAAGGTCTACAACAAAACAGATCGATATTTGGTTGACTCATTGCCAGATGCACTTCAATCTGAATTTCAATTACCACAATGTATTCTGTGTGGTGGATTTACCAACAGACTAACAGTAAATATATCACTAATAAAAATATATGTCTGAGAGCTTAATTACTTGCACTCAGACAACAATCCAGTCTTATGGATTGAATATTTTACCAATAAAATAAATGCGGTATTTCCACAAAAGAATAATGTTAATTATGATCGATACACTTTTGGCTTTACAGAAATTGGTAAGGCAACTTTTCCATATTTCTAGGACTCCGTTCTTTGGTTCAGTAGTGGTGGTACAAAATCATTCTTACATATTGATAATGTTGAGAATATCAACTGTCTAATATCTGGTCAAAAGGAATGGTTCTTTGTTGATAAGGTGAATTTGTATTATGATCATCACTGCCACCATTGCCTGTGCAGTTACTGCCACTATATATCCTTATAACCATTATTATCACCACCACCACTATCACCTGACAACCATTATTACCACAACCATCTTCATGATCTCCTTCACCACCACCATTACCATCATCATCACCATCTCCATTTTCTCTTCCATTATCTACTATAATAAACCATGACAATATCACCATAACAATATCACATATTACAGGAGAACAGTAAGAAGATTGAGATAGATCATGGTGAAGGCGAATATTGTGGAGTAGATGTTGATAAAGTTGACATGGTAAAATATCCAAGTCTACAGGTCATACCATGGTGGTCAGCTCATATGGTTGCTGGTGATTGTATGTATGTACCATTTGGGTAAGTCGGGCACTCCAAAGCTACCAGCAGGTACTGCTTGCAGGCCACGTGTTACAACGTAAGGGGCATCACGCTAGGTCGCTAACCACATCATGCTTCCTACAGCACTTTCTACCATTCTAAACTTAACCCATTAAGATGCATAGCTTCCCCATTGACGAGTAAAATTATCTGGCGTTAGACAAGTAAAAAAAATAAGTAGGGCGCACTGGGACGCATTGCAGCTCAATGGGTTAGCTAGAGAAATTGTCAGATTTTTTGGTTAATAAATAAAGTTTCTCTGTTGTCTCTGTAGTTGGGCGCACCAAGTGCGTTCGTACTCGCGAAATATTGCTGTGAATATATGGTGGGCGGTGATGAGAAGTTTTAACCATTCAGACTGTCAGCGTTCTTCTGGTATGTTTAACATAAACATCAAATTTTCACACAACAGAATAAGTTCAGAACAATGAAATTGCTTCGACGCCTTCGCTGTTTAGCAAACCTCCGTAATTAGAGGACGTCTCCTAAACAGTTGTAATACTAGCTCACTCACTTGTCGTATTGTATTGTTTACATATTTATACGTTTCCGTATAGAGAAAAAGCTCAAAAGAAAATCATTGAGTGAATTTGAGTATACACATGGCGAGCAAATAAGGTACATTGTATTGAAAATCGGTTTGACTGACAGGCCATGATAGTCTGTGACAATTAAACAATAAAAAATAAAACTATGTCTTCATATTAGGTTTCTGATATTGAACTTACTGGAAGAACACGGTGGCAAACTAACTTATGATATCATGCATAAAATGATGCGAGTAAGTCTGGTTAACTTTTCGTCAATTTATCATGACAATTTATTCCTACGATGACTGTTATATATACTTTTAACTTTTCTAGCACGAACATGATGGAAAACATCTTGTGAATGAAGAGGTAGGGCGCAGAGTTCCTCTGTTTGTGTGCAGAAGGCTTTGCAAATGAAGAAATTAAATATGGGCACGATGTCCTCATACAGTAATTACCATTACTAGAGCTAGAATAGACCGCTATTCTAGCAAGTTCGTATATCGATTATCCGGATAGCAGTAGGTCGAGCAGGAAACATAAATCATTCCCCCATCATTTTCGTATTGTATGTTACAGAGTTTTGCGCTACTGGATCAAAACAAAGATAACATCCTTGTTGTTGAAGAAGTTGAAACTTGCGATCCAGAAATTATCGAGATTGCTTTGCAGAGAACACCACCAGGAGAAGTATGGATTTTATTTCGTCTTATAGACTGGATAACAGGGTGTTTGTGAAAATGGTTAATCTCAGAAGCCCCGAATTCTGCTTTTTAAGTCTGTAACGTAATATAGACTGTTTATATAGTTACATTTGGGGTTTGTTAATTCGACACTTCCCTCAAGCTCCAAAACTCAATTTAAGAATACATTCACCACGGACTGTCCATTTTGGAACTGGACGGAATAGGAGGCCCAAATAGGATGATCCCAGGTTTTAAGGAAATGGCGAAGTATAAGAAATGGGACGTCAAAAGTTAAGTGAAAGTATTTCTGACATTTTCAGATCAACATCAGAGGCATGGCGCAAAGTAGAGACCCGAAACTTATTGGAATTTTAAAGAGAATAGAGAAACAAGAACCTTACATTGAAGAGTTTCTACTGAGAATTCACAAAACTACAGACGATATCAGAAGTTTCTTAGAAACTTATAGTGAAAAACTGCATATTGAGATAAGGGAATATTTACAACAAATACTCGACGAACATGGTCAACCTACGGACCGACCTCGCGAGGAATTGTAGACATGGTGGTGATGTTCAGTATCGAATGTGCAATGTAAAAATAGTTATTTATTGTATCATTGGTAGCAAAAATAGACTTTCCGCTTCTATTCCTAGACATCGCATGTTCATTTTATTTCATTTCACAAATGTTGGGGATTGCCTCCCTGGTTTCGCTCAACAACTTCACGTACAAATTCAAATCACAAAAATAAATTCACAATGACGATATACAGTTTCGATATATATTTTTAGTACTTTTGCACAAGTGAATATAAATGGTTTAGTGCTAACCCTGGGTTAAAATGTAACCTGCTGTTTTAGTTTATGTTTTTCAGCACATCTGTTTATTTCAAAACTTCAGAGAAGAAAACTCCTACTGGTCCAGACAACGTTTCTGAACAAATATTTCCAAACTGATGAACAAGCTGCAGGAAAGTTTGCTTTGAATTTGCTTTTGCTTTGAGCTGTCGAATGCTACCTATTTTCCACCGTTGCGAATTGCATGTAAAACTATACTGTTCGAGTATTGAATTTATTCTCATTTATTGAAATCCCTTGAGTACGCATAAACGCATGTGTGAACATCAAGATTTGATAAACTTTTACTCGCAATTTTACATCGAAATTGAGTGGCTAAAACATTTTACAACACTGGAAGCTTCCAGACTGGACTCACAATGGCATACGTTTCCCACTGCAACAAACATTTGGGGGAATTTTCGAAAATCGGAATAACATTTAAATCCCGAAGATGGAAAAATGCGAATTCAATTGCCGATTAATTAGATTGCATACAGCACGATAACATATCAAATTTGGATTACATTTTTTTATACACCCTGAAGTGTGACAAAAATTTTAAAATTGCCGAGCACTTATTGCTTAGCTTGGCTTAGGTCAACATACTTATAACAGAGTCCGCGTGAAGAACAATTTATTTGGTTAAGGTGGCTTGATATATTAATCCACACAAAACCTTTATACAAGAATCGCGAGAACAAACCGTTATGCTATATGAACAAACTGGGAATATTAACGAAAGCACTTATGTTGTACATGTTTTATTACGCATGCATGCCAATTGCTGACGTCATTAGAAATGCCAATTTCAGTTTGAAAAACAGTGCGCTAGCTATATCTCATTATTTCGTGCGGTGACCTATGTTGAAATTCCGCACACTGTGTTGTGCCGCAAAAGTCTTGCACTATACCAAAAATGCAAAACTTTTATCGAAAAAAAACCCGACATTTTTGCGTTTTTAAGAAAATGGCATCACAGTATGCTTATTATTACAATATTAGTCTCTGTAAAATTCAACCCTAAGAAGGACTCATCCTTTGAGGGAGTTATCCGTCTTCTTTCCAATTTTGTGTGCAAAACTTTCCCGACATATCGGACAACACTTCCTACAATGTATAAAAAAAAAACTTCAGAAATAAAAAAAACTGCATGTGCATACTACATAGCTTGTGAGCAGGCTCTCTTATAGTCTATGGAAGGAAAGCCTAACATATTTGATGCTCTTTGTTCATGTTTTATCCAAATTGCACTCAAAACCATGCTATTACCTATACTAATTATTTTACATAAAGCTTAGCCAAAATATGTTAACATTTTGTATACATATATTGATCATATACTGTATTAGTGCGATTATACATCCTTCGTAAAATTATATATTTTAAATGCAGGGGCGGATCCAGCCAAAAATCTGACCGTAGCATTTTCCAAGACCTTGGATAGCTAGGGGGGTCCGGGGGCATGCCCCCCCGGAAAATTTTTGAAATTTGAAGCCCGGAAATGCCATTTCCTGCGTTCTGAGCACTGCATGTGAC